AAATTGGTTTCCTATTTTTGCCCTATTTTTTATTACTCGCCCTTTCCTGTGGCCTTTTCACTACGGCCTTGGAACATAATTTTATTCCAGACTTTAGTTACTTGTCATCCAGTAATCCAGTTTGTTATTCTACCTATGTTAGTTAACTTGAATCACAGATATAGAAGAAAGTTTCTATGTAGCTTAAACAAAAAAGGGGTTGTGATATGTTATGGAAATTTCATAACCAGATTTAGAAGCAATTGTATTATGGTTTTAATAAACTATCCATCAAAACCTTACCTAGCAGATAAAAAATATCGAGGGCCTATATACATAACAAAATTGATTAAATTGACCGATAAAAAATAAACTGCGACAAAATTAACTTAATACTGTTTAAGCATGTTAGCATTTTTAAACAATTCCTTAACTTTTGTGTTTAGATTATTTTTTTATTAATTTCTAAGCTGATATTGTTTTAATACAAAATGTATACTTTTGTGTAGTGTTTAGTCTGAATACTTAAAAACCTATACTAACAAATGTTTCCAAATGCCAGGATCTCAACACTGCTAATTTGTTATACTACTAAAAAATTAGAATTTTGGTTAAAAAATAATTTAATTCTGTGAATTTATTTGATTTTAACTCTTGTAAAATCTTGACCAGCGACTGGTAAAATTAAAATAGAATTTTTCAAATATGAACTAATAATTTCAGCAATCAATTAAAAGCTACTTGACTAATTAGATATACACAGAAAAAGTTAGCTTATAATGAAATTTGATGTAAAACTTAATCTGTACTGAATACTATGATTTGGTTTTGTTTTTTTATAAAAAAGCAAACACATAGCTAAAAACAATACAATATCACAATACTTCAGTAACAAATCAAAATTAAATATATTCAACTCTTAAATTTAATTTCGCCTACATCAACTTTGAGCATTTTTACCTATTACTTGACGTGCAGAATAAAGAAAAAAAAGTATCAAGTAGTGGTGGATATTTTTAATTTAATTACTAATGTATTAAGGATTTTTACATAAACCCAAAATTGCCAAGCTAGTTAACTAAAGGATGATGGATGATTACCCTTCAAAGTTGTCATATATAAATAATACAAAACATTTAATGACACTGGAACCAACTTAAACAGGACAAGAGCAGAACAGCATAGTTCTCATAATTAGTATTTTTTCATGGTTAAAAGACAGAAACTGCAGAAGATAGAATAAAAGCAATGCCACAGTGATCTCTTCTAACACTAAAACTATTTTTTTAACTGTTGTGAAACCCCTGGAATATTTGGGGGCAAAGGAAATGTTTAATAACCTCAATCACACATATGTATACTATGTATGTATGCTAACTCATACCGGTGCAATTTTGTAGCCTAACATTTAAAACACAAATATTTATAAATTTAACTTTTTATTCTGCAAAGTATAAAGCCGGAAATAATATGTTTTTATGAAAAACTAGCTGCATTAAGACTATTTTTAACAAACAATAGTAAACTTTAGAAAGCCATAAACAGTTGACACACTTTTTAATAGTCACAAGACAAAATTAGGACATGGCAATAATTAAGAAGACCAAAATAAGCACTTGTCACTACTAATTAAGAAATCGTCCAGACAACGAACTAAAATTTAATATGAAATGCGAAACAGATGGAAAATCTACATTATAGTTTGGAAAGAACATCCTGACAACAAACTAAAAAGTAATTGGAAGTGCAGGACAGATATAAGATCGTTATTATGGTTTTTAAGATAAATTCTAAAAAATGAACTAAATAGTTAATAGGAACTGCAGAACAGACAGAAGATTAATATTAGTTTTGTAGAGAACCTCCAGACAACGATCTAAAAAGTTAATAGGAACTGCAGTACAGACATAAAATCAATATTATAGTTCTGAAGAGAAATTCTAGAAAACTAACTAAATAGTTAATAAGAACTGCAGGGCAGATATAAGATCAATATCCAATATTATAGTTTTGTATAGAAACTCCATAAAATGAACTAAGCAGTTATTAGTACAGAACTTCAAGGCAGATGCAAGACAAATAGGCCTATAAGTCTGACTTTGTGGTTTCTAAAGAAATTCCATATCATGAATAGTTACACAGTCAACATAAACTACAGGACTGATATTAGACTAATTTTGTGGTATTTAGAGAATTAACAAACAAATAATTACTTAGTCAATATGAACAATATATTAGTGTTTCTAGACATATGACAAGGAGTACCATCATATAAATTTCCTTACTTTTTCAAGCTTGTGAATTTGTAAAGGAACACTAGTTAATAAACAATAAAGTTTGGTTAGTTCATTGGACAGATTTGATGGCAAACATTTTAAATACTACTCTTGTAACTGGTGCTCAAACGTTAATTTTAGTACCATTTAAGTAGGTAGCATGTTTAGAATAAATTGCTCAGACATTCTAAATTCTTAGTGTAAACCAAATTCTGTCACGCAATACTTCTAAATTCAGTGTAAATTTTGTGTAGTTGTATTTAAGCCTGTTAACATTTTTGCAATAAAAACAATGGTAATGTTGAATAAAATTTGGTTCGAGGTCAGTTAACATCGGTTATTGTCATAAAAAAATATTTAATTTAGTTAAAATAAATTTGTAGCAAAGTCAAATGTTTCGATGGTATACAAAATAGATTTTATGTTTTAACCCTCAATAAGTTAACTAAGAGTGTTAACCAACAATGTTATTTATTACTTCATTTGTGTATTTTGATATGGGATTCTTACAGACTAGGGTATAAATTACAAAACTTTCATACCTAAATAACTTTCCACAAGTCCCTCAATCTTAAATATGTGAAATGGTCAATCCAAATGGCACGGTGAAATGTCAACGTTACTTTTATTTTAGAAATGAAAACAGATCAACTGTTGAGTTTTAGACTACAATATGATTGTGTTTTTAACTTGATGTAAATGGATGATTGAGTTTCGTTACTGTGATCACCACGACAAATAGCACCCGACAAGAGGCGAACAACAATTAAAAGCACTAAAAATCAGCTGCTTCCTGTCTAAACATGCACTCACAAACCATAGACTATGTCACCATGTAAAAGCATATTGATTAATCTACGCTGGGTTAAATAAAGGCACACACAGATTTGTTAAAAACTATTTCCTGCACAATTTAACCCTAAACGATCCCATATGGTTTTAAGTTTTCAAAAGGTTTATTCAGTGTTTTTTTCTAGTTGTCTGTAAACGAGGCAAACATGATGGTTTTGTATGGAATGTTCTAGTATTTTAAATTTAAGTTATATCGTATTGTATTAATTTATTTTTTTTTAGGAAAGGAGGAATAAGGATTCAAAATACATTGAGTGGGAAAAAGGATATGGGTTAAGATTATAAATACAATAAAAATTCAGTACACTCTGAAAAAAGTCAAAAATATTAAAATTATCTCTTTAATCTCTTATTCCAACTAATAAAACATTATTTCTGAAACTACTTTTTGTATGTAAGTTTGGCATACTGTAAATCTTCAATTTATTGACTTTATTATTTTATCTACCTTGGCCTAAATCTCAAAATACTACAGTATGAATGCTAATGAAATGTGTATGCCCAAACTGTTTGATTCATTAAAACCAAACAAGTATCATTTAATTTGTCATCTTAATCTGATGATTGTTTATGCCAACATTTTTTAAACTTAAGCTATTAACATGCAATAAGGTTTTAAGCTTTTCCTGTCGATTCCTGAACAGAACAGTGAAAGCACTGTAAGAATTTGATCATTAAAAAATTTCCGAGAAATAAATCAACTTAAAATGTAACAAATATTTAAAGAGTTATTAACCTGTTAATTTTTGATGAAGTAAACCTATACAGTTTTAGCATGTATGTATTACTAATATGTTTCTTTGAATATTATAAACAATTGTACTAGAATTTGAAATATTTTATTTGTGCTGTAAAAGGGTAATATTTAATTAAATGGACCAGTAATGCCAATTATTTTGCAACCAAGCTATAAAATGAGAAACTATGAACTTGAAAAAATGTGTTGAAAGTAATGGTATCTGAAATTGAAATAATTAGTCATGCTCATATTTTGTAGTACCAGGATTACATATCTCTAAGATATACTTTTAGCTGATTGTCTTACTAATAAAAATAATCTTCCATAATTGAACTTATAAAGCTTAAAACCTTCTCACATTAAAGGAGGCAAAAAGATAATATCTGTAAATCATAATCTATTACGGTATCAAAAATAATCATTTAAGTGGCAAGCTAAGCAAAATATTTTTTTTTTACTTTAACTTTTTAGTTACCGTACTTTTTTGCTTTGAATTGATATAATATTGAGTTTAATTTTAAAATATGTAAACGTATAGGCCTATCCTTGACCATAAAAAAATACTTACCTTAAGTGTTAACATAAAAAATAACAAAACTGTGCTGCCTGTCTTTCCAGTACTTTTGGATAAACCAAATTTTTTGTGTGAACCAATTTTAATTTTTGTTTTATTTTATTAAGTTATATGTTTTTCAAACAGTATAAAGGACAGGTAAATATAATTTTGTCAAATTAATTGATTTTGAAATTTTAGGTGGTAAGAGATTTGTGATTTATTTTCTCATTAATAGATTTTTCTTGTAAAATAAGAGTCAGAAAAGGTTAAATTCAAAGGATGTTTAAAAATGAAATCCCCACAAATGGGCAAAAGTTGGGGACTTTTGAGGAATAATTATCAAAATTGACAGCAACTCTCAACAAGTTTATGAACTGGATTGTGTAATTTAACAATTTTAAAACCAATCTAGGCGTTATCATTCATTCACGAGTAACCAATATTAAAGGAAGTTTTGCAATGAATGTCAGAGTTATCAAAATTCAAATTAGCGCCAGACATACCAAAATTGGTTCTCATATTCAATAACCCCTGAAACCTAACAAATCTTTTTATGTAGAGAAAGCTAATTGAAAAAAGAAAATAGAAAAGTACTCACCAAACCGACGAGTAAAAAGAAAACAAGAAAAGTTCGTCCGAGGACAGTTTGACAGTAGACGTCACCGTAGCCGACGGTGGACATGGTGACGATGAGGAAGTACACACACGTCCAGTAGGACAACTGCTGGGGGTTGTTGAACTCCATTGGGTCTCCGGAGTTCTCCAGCTGGAACAAAACTAGTGGTTATGTCTCTAGAGACTAAAATAGAGATAATAAAGTTCGTAACGGTGTTACAAGACGGAATAAAAGTTTAAACAAGTAAAATAGAAGTAGAGAAAAACAGTCCCCTGGCAACAAAAGTTTTTGTTCCACCTTCACATCCTAGGACGTAGGCTCCAACCGTTTGACACAATACTACACATTACACATTACGCTAGGCCTAGATGGTTGTGGCATTATCGCCTGGAAAAATTCATTAATGGTTAACTGGATTTAAACCTGGGATCTTGGGCACCGAGGCCCCACGCTCTACCTCTAGACAAGCTCGCTCCCCTGCTCTGTATAGTACAGTAGACTCTCGCTCGTGTGTATCGGCCTTGTTCGGACTCCTGCTAGTTCGGATCGGGAATCGTGATTTTTTAGCGGCACAGTACAGTAGAAGTCCGATTATCCAAGACTACCTCGGATAATCAAAAACTCGGATAACACGGCGGTAAAGATTATTACCGGTGGAACTGCATTTGCCTGACTATCAATACTGTGGACCTGGAACAAAATTGAAAAAACGGCTATATACAGTACTGTATTTTCTTGACTCTCGATAGGATTTTTCGTAATCTAGACCGGACGTCCGCCACATTAGTCCAGATGAGCGAGAGTCTACTGTAGAACCAAGTGAAGGTAGCTCTCTTTTTAAATTACATACTTTGAATTGAGGTATTTTTCATTGGTAGATATGTGAGCTACACTCACCTTTATTTTTGTCTGATGATATGCAGGACTACATATTACTTGTCAAGTTTACTACTATTATACAGTACTAGTGTCAAGTTGTTGTATTTCTTGTACCAGGGTGGATCCCTCTCCATTAAGGTGTCACCAAAAATCCTTAAGACCTTGGACTCATGTGCCATAGCATGAGAAATGAGAAGAGTCCAGAAAGGAAGTAGTTGAAGAGCTTAAGAGTAAAAGCAAAACTAATATAGTGAGTAAACATAAGGAAAAATGTCTAGTAAAATTGAGCAGACTGAATCAACCCTTAACTTTGTGGTAATAGAGGGAAGGAAATTGAGAAGAACGTTTAGAAGAAGAAGAAGGTGGATGGATGTGAAGTGGTTAGGAGTGAGATAGCAGATGAAGAGGAATGGTAACTGTGGAGTGTGGAAGGATAGAATATGGAAAAGCCCAGATCAGGGAATAACCATAACAGAGGAGAATATGAAGGTAGTTTTAGTATTGACTATTGTATACTGAAGTAGACATCTCATCTATATGGATCACCTGTCAACAATTACTTAAAAGAACATTGTTGAATAAGCCAGTCACAGAATGCGCTAGTGTATAAAATTATATTTTCTACCTTATTTGTTTGTTGCTGACAAAGCTTATGGGTCATAACAGCTGCTATAGCTCACAATAAGTCTTTTCATCAGTTTGACTTGGTAAAAAAGTTTGTATTTTCAACAGAAATCAGTAATTTATATCAGCTCAGCACAATCTGTTGGTGGCTCACAAAACAAAGATTTTTTAAACTGATAGATTTGTATGTTTAACCGTACCAGATGGATGATGCCGGCAGCCGTCAACCATACTGAGATGAAGATGGAGACGAGTTGCGCCAGTCGTATGGATGATGAGGTCTTGAGAATATTGAGATACTGCAGAATATCCGGGACTGTCATAAGCCTCAGGGCTCGCAGGAACCTCAAACCTGAAAAAATTAAAAGGCCTATCAGTTGAAACATTCACAAGTAATATCTAAAACACAAACATACTAGAACCAGTTATAGTGATTGAACTACACCTATTAGTTTAGTTGATTTTATAGCTGAAAGAAACTTTATAATTGTTTTCAAAAACAACTTAATAATTGTTGTCCACCTATCCACGATTTATCACACAAGTTCATGTAACAAGAGCTATTTAAATTTAAATAAAGATTACCCGAACTATGACAAAGCCTTATTCTTGTTTGTACCTTTTCAAAAATTTTTAATTTCTGGTGATAATAAACATTTATTTTATTTTACTTAAGCCCTATTTATTTTCTCATTGAGATTATTCTAAACTCTGCTTCTGATAAAAAATAAGGTTCTGATGAAATAAATAAAGTTTTATAAAATGTCTAACTTGAATTTTTTTTACTTTTGGGTTGTTACTTTTGAAATGTTACATTGGGCGAAAAAATAAATCAGTAAGATAAATATAAGAATGAGAATAAATGATAATAAGTTTTTTTATGCATTGTCAAATTATTCACAGCATTAATTAAAATCCAGTGGAGTCAACGTTCTTGATCTTCTATTGGATTAAATGGCTGACTACAAAGAAAGTTATTTATTTTAATCTTAAAAATCTTATCACTAAGTATTAAGTAACCTTATGGCAATTAGTAACTTTTTATACAATTTACTGCTTAAAATTAATAATCTTTTATCAGTCTTAGCAAGTCTAACCTGAGGAAAATTTATATTACATCTATAGCGAGTGATAATGGCTGTGTATATCTCTCCTAAATTGAACATTTATTATAAGATTACAAATAGCAAAACCGCTTCACAAAAGAAAACTTATCAAATCCTCTTCAATATGCTATTAATATGCTTCAATATGCACCAGTATAGCATATGTTTATAAACCTTAAGTTCTGTCTAATTTGGTCATTGCTTTAATTAATACATTTGCTGCAATTGTGCAAAAGACTATATGGTTGCTTTGTCGAGCAGCTGGGTCATAAGATGAAGTGTTTACTGTTCAATATCACATTTAAAAATTTCCTTTCTGACCAACATCAAGGTCACAATTAATAAGTTTATGGTATTTTAGCATGTTACATTTCTGGATGGTAGCAGAACAATAGCACAGTTACCAAAAGGACCTTATCTAGTACTAATAGTCTAAATGCAGAGAAAAGGACAGAAAGGGGGTTTGCTATCACCTCTCCTTTTTTCTATACAACTCAAGCAAATGATTAAGTTAAAGGTATACAATTCTGGCGAATGACATCAAGAGTCCTGCTAATTCCTACTAATTGACTGGGCACTGTTCAGGTGGCCAAAATGATTGGATTAAAACCAGAACTGGAGAAAAATTTGATTGACATGTTTAATAAAAAAACTAGGCTACATTGTTCTGATTGTAAATGCTCAAATATTGCTCCAGGAATCTTGAAAACACCGTGATTGACTCTCCCAATCTTGGAACTTCGGGATAATTTCCTGTGATCCTCTTCTGTGATTCTTCTTACTAAACAATAACCTCAAAAGAGAGCCAACAGAACGCTGTTAAGGAATGGACGCTGGGTCATATGCTTCTATTCTAAATTACCCAGTTCATACAAAATTCACTTACGATTCACAGGATTTTTTCCATCAAAATTTCAAGTAAGATTGAGTTTTTTCTTTTTTCTCTTTGGAGGGGGGGGGGTATTTAGAACACATAGCTTTGTTTTAAATTTAAATACAGAAACCCTTTTCCCCTAACAGGATTGGCCAAATATTTGAGAATTAATGCGACTCTGGTAGGTGTCGTAAACTTCTTCCACAAACAACTAAACCACACTATAACGTCAAAAATCAAACATGTAATTTTTCCCTACTCGTAAACCACACAGTGCATGAGTTCGCTATAGACTTGCCACAGTAAAAACATCAGTAAACCTACTAAAGTTCTACTATAGATACTGTACTTATTTACTCACCTATCCATGTGCGATCTAAATATATCGAAACGAATGACGGTGGTATCGTAAAATAATCAACAAATGAATACATCTCGAGCATAAACCATAGTTTATCACTTGCAGCTATAAACTGAAACAAACAGTAATTGGTATGTGTTAGTCCAGTCATATTTGGTAATTAAATACCTACAGTAGTTTGTAGGCCTATAATATTTTATATCGTAAAATTTACTTAAATTTGTTACCATGATGTTGAAAATTGCCTTGAGGATTTCATTATTTGCATTTCAGTGCAATTTGAAAAATGCATTGGACACACTTTGTACAAAGAGCTGTTACCTATTCTTTATAAGTAACTGCTTCCTTTAAATTTAATGGAGTTTGGTCACGTATACAATCCCCACTAAATCTTACCTATGCAATTTCAGTACATTTCAAACAAAGATGAACTATGTATCAGGCTGTGGTGCACCTGGGAAAATCAAAATTTCCCTTAGGATTACATTAAGCTATATAGCATGTCAAGAGGAAGAAACAAGAACTATCGAGGGCTTTCTAATTGAGCTATTGTTAATAAGGAGAGTTACAAGCATAAACAAAAAGAGTAAATGGACTTTATGTACTTGTATGATGAAGAATTTTATTGATCATTAAAAGTTGTATTTAGATTTTATGTTTATAGTCTATTTTAAAATTCAAATTCTTTTTAGAAAAAATATTATTTGTATAGTAATTTGTTCGCTCCAGTCAATTAGCAGACCAGAGAGCACACTCAGTCTAGACTTATCAACGACTTTAAAATGTAACATAGACATTTTAGACACTGCAGCAAAAAATAGCAATGCACAAAACTTCTTGACAGTAAAAGGAAAATCAAAAATGTATATTTTAGCATTGACTTTAAATGTCACTTTCAATCCACTACGCAAAATATGTTAACTGTTCTCTTGGTTGAATTAAAGAATAATTAAAAATATTTTAAAATCCAAACTATACTCACTCGTATAAAAAAGTACACCATAAAAAATATATTGAAGGCTAAATCGATTTGTTGAGTAACATTGTTGCTCCAGCTCTGACATTTTTCTACTTCTTCGCTGTAACAAGAAAATTTTTCATTTGAATTTGTAAACTACATAACAAACTATTACAGAGAAGTAAGGTACAGAGGAAACTTGGGGACAATCATGCATTTTCAACTCTACAGTAGACTCCCTCTTATCCAGACTCCTCGGGACTGAGGCCAGTCCGGATAACGGGTTTTCCAGTTAAATCGAGGTCCCCAAAAACTCGTTAAAATTGACTGTTTACTGTGAAATTCTACTTAAATTAGAAGAGCATTGTATTTAGACACGTGATCTATGGTCTCAAAACTTTCCCATGAGAACAGTCGTTTCAGTACTGCCCACTTCCTGCCAATCTAGTTGGATTAAACCAATGTACTGATAAAAATTACCCTGTTAAAGAGATGTCATTTCTGCCAGGTGTAGTCCGGTTAAACCGATGTCCGGATAAGAGGGTGTCTACTGTAGTATGTTGTGCCAGAAATATACTTGTGACGAGCAAGGTTGAGTACGAGAGGCGAGCACTGTGTGAAAGTTCCTATCGCACAGGACACAGGATCTTCCTCCACCATGAGCGTTGTAGTACAAAGAGGGCGGCGGAAGCAGTGATGGACTTTTCCCTAGACGTGTACAATTGAATATTCCCTTTATACATTACTTATAATGTGGAACTACAATGGATGTTTTATTATTTGAAATAGACTACCTAGATCAAAACTGTATCAATTACATAATTGAATACGATTCCATCTATGCTTCAGTACCAAAAATATAAAAGTTGGTGTAGATTCATACCTTAAATTGCTCATTTCATTTTAAAGGGTTTATTATGCTGAATAAGATTCATATACACTGGTATTTAATAGCAATACATTTTTTGTCTGTTTTAAAATCTTTTTTCGTCTCCAAAATCTTTTGGAGCTAATTCATTAACCACATTTAGAAAACTTTGACTTGTTTGTTGAATTGTATTATTAAAATTGATATTGTTCTGTTTCCTTGAATGCAGTCCAAGCATACAAATGTTTTCCTTTATTGATTAGTATTCAACAAATGGTTCATAACAAATAAAGGAATTTTAAACTTGTAACTAGTAAAAGGTCTAGTACAGTAAATGGAATTGGCTGAATGATGGATTTGCTGTTTACATAAATACAACTAATTGTTAAATTCATCCTAACTAATCGGGGCTTAGAGCCGTTCCCCCGAAGCAATGTAGTCCTTGTATATTATATAGACAAATATCTTTAACAGAACAAATTTGAATAGTACCTAAACTGTGCAAACTAACTTTGTAGTTAAGAATTGCACTAATAATTGTAATTCTTGGTTTACAATTAATTCTTAATTTAGCTGCATGAAATCTTTAAAAACTGCTGTCAATTATGTTAAGCAAGGTTTGGCTTCTGATAAAAGAAGGTTTACTGAATTAATAAGTAGCCTATACCACGTGGTACTTTAATAAAGCCAAAAAAATGAAGAAAATTTACAATCCTTTAAAAATTTAGAATCATGCAATCTACATGACTTAAAGTGAGCAAGGTACTATGCACTCTTTGTTGGTTATTAGTAGGTAAAGAGTAATAATGTTAAATGCAAAATAGTTTATCTTCATAAATTGTTTCCAATAGCCTACAGAGATAATTACAATATTGTTTATGTTGAAAAAACCTTTAGAATCCACCTAAAATGTATAATATATAGTACTAGTGTCCCTGTTGCTCGAATTCGAGCAATTTCTAAGTATTACAGGAGTTACTTTAAAAGGAATAACAGTCATAATTTCTGATGATTTTAAATTATTAGACTCAAAGATTATGGAAATACTCAAGTACATAACAGATCGATATAATCAACATTTCTTGTAAATATCTTATAATTTTTCAAAAGCTTATTTTTTGTGTTTTCTACAAATAGCCTAACTCATAGCCGCATTAGGTTGTCCACAATAACGAATAAATATTAAAAAAACAAATGATTTCTATTTCTTCTCTTTGGCGGTGTTCTATGACTATTTTATGTTTCCATAGTTTGCAAATCGGCTCTTTCAATGATTACTAAGAAATGCAGCACAGTGTTAATTCAGTTTTCTTTGTGGTATATCAATTTATCCAGGCTCTCTCTATTTTTCCATTGTAGTATTTACGCCAACCCTAATTCAAATAGTAACTACTTCATTTCAACCAAGTAAGTAAATGTTTGTGGTAAACTAACTGTTAAATTAGCAAACTTATTGACTGTGTTTACAATTAACATATGTTCTTCTTCTCACTTTTAATTTCTGACAACAGCTGGAGTTTCGTAACAATATTTGTTTCCCATGTTAATCTTATGGAGAAATACGAAACTTTAAAGAGCCCCAGGGTCTCACCCTCTAATTATTTTCTTAAACAGAAAGTTTCCTGCACAACTTCACGTTACGCCCTTTCCAATGACACCAAGAACATGTAAATCGGTTCAGTAGTTTCGGAGGAGTAATTGTCACAAAAATCCTGCTTGCGTATTAAATAAGTACGAGAGGTCGTCCAGTGGTCGAAACTCGACCAAAAATATGTAATGTACTCACTTAACTATTTTCACCCCACACTGTAAATAAAACATGTGATTGGAGTTTCCTCCATTTGTTTTGATTTTCTGTTTATATTTCGTTGTTATTTCGTAACCAGCATAGCAACGCATAAGATCCATGTTAATTTTTTACAACTTTTAAACTTATTTTTTGTGCTTATCTTTGAGCCTATTTAAATTTATAAAGGGATTCTGCACACCTACAGGAAAATAGCTTTCCAACGGTATGCGTAGATTTTCCCTACGATGCACACGAGCTGAGAAAAAAGGTTTTAAAGAAACATGCTTGCCTATTAATATATAGATAGATAGATAACATTACATTTACTTACCTAGAAGCGTCAATGAAGTAAATGATGAGCGAAGCAATACTCAGTATAAACACCAGGACTACCTGAAAATACAAAGAACATTTAGAACAGATTGGAAATTGCAATATTTAGTAGGCTAATTATATTTCACATGTAGGCCTAATCTTGGAGAACCAAGAGAGTTAGAAGAAAATAAAAAATAAATACTGCTAAGATAATTCTACCATTTCTGATTGAATTTGGTTTGCTTGTAGTGAGAATGAAAACTCTAAAAGATAGGTGCTTTTAAGAGGAATTCATGCAGGCTGAAACATTATGATAAATTATACACACTTCTATCATGAAGTAAGGTTAAGTCACATTACCGTAGTAAAATTAATTTTGTTCCAGTGGCTTTAAATACGCTCCACTTTTTAGTTAGGTGTATAAAAAATTTGGATGAGAAATTACACATGATCAGTCCCAAACTAAGTATGGAGTACCCTGTACACATTGACCGAGCCTAAACTTGCTTTTGAGCTTTTCTCTAGTATATTTTTTGACGAATTTGATCATGTTTTTCCAGCCAAATTATATAACCCCAAGAGTAAAGTCTGTTCCGTTGGCTCTGGTTCAAGGCATAACAAATCAGCCTATTGTTGGTACACCCCTGAACTGAGGAGGATGAGAAATTACATGGCTTTTGTTCATGACCTGTATAAGGGCTCCAGTGATATGTGTAGGAAAGGGCAGCTCTATTCTCTTTATTTGGAGATCAAGAGGAACTATAGGGTTAGAGTCAATGTGGCCAAGAAATCCTTTAATGCAGAATCCATCCTTAGTGCCCCTAACCCATGTAAAGCTGCGTGGGACATTATCAATAAAGAAAGAGCGCCAGGTCCCGGGCCTAAAATCCAAGCATCCCCTGATGAGTTAAATGAATATTTTACAAGTGTGGCTGGAAACATCATCTCTGATCTACCTGTGTTGCAGACGGATCCTCTGGATTCTGTGCCGGACTACTCCTCCGTCCATTCATTTACCTGCTGGAATAGGGTGAGTGTAAGAGAGATATCCCAAATGATTAAGAATTTCAAAGACTCCAAGAGCCAAGATGTCTATGGCCTTTCTACACATGTTCTCAGGGCTGTTGCAGATCTCGTGGCCGTTCCTCTCACGCACCTGGTCAACTTGTGCCTGGCTCATGGATCTTTTCCGGACTCTCTAAAGAAGGCCCGTACTGTGCCCATCTTCAAGAAAGGGAACCCTACACTGATGGAAAATTTTCGCCCCATTTCTATCCTCCCTATCTTTTCTAAGGTGATGGAGACTGTGATGAAGAGACAACTCCTCTCATACTTTGAAAATAATGGCCTACTGGTGGACTCATAGCATGGCTTTCGTAGTGGTCGATCTACCACCTCCGCACTCCTGAGCCTGGTCGACACCATATCCCAGGCCTTTGAGGAAAATGAATCGGTCCACCTCAGCCTTTGTGACCTCAGCAAGGCTTTCGATGTTGTGTCACATGACATCCTTCTGGCCAAGCTGAGAAAATATGGTATCGGTGGCGCAGTTTCCGCTCTCTTGCGGACTACCTTGGCAACCGCAAACAAATAGTAACAATTATGGGTGCTTCTTCTACTATAGGCTCTCTTCCCCATGGAGTTCCGCAGGGATCGGTCCTGGGCCCTCTTCTTTTCACAATAATGATCAATGACCTTGCTACAACCAGCCATGCCCTCCTATGCAGATGATACCACCTTGGTCACAAAGGGGAAGAACATCGACCCGCTGCTGGAGGAGGCAAACAACACCCTGAGGCTGGCCAAGGACTGGTTTATAGCCAACAAGCTTAAGATCAACGAGGAGAAGACTCAGATCCTTTTATGTTCCTTGAAGATCGGTCTTGAGGAAAACAGCGTGAAGCTGCTTGGGTTCTGGATGGATTCAAAGCTAAGTTGGCACCACCATATTGAAAAGGTATGTGTAAAGCTCTCAAGAGTTCTCCACCTTTTAAGGAAGCTTAGGACCACCATTACCAGACCGTATTTGCTAGCGGTGTATCATGCGCTGTTTCACAGTCACCTCACGTATGGCCTGGTTCTGTGGGGTCATTCTCCATGGACACAGGAATTACTTCTGCTACAGAAAAAGGCGATGAGGATAATAACATCTTCTGGCTACAAAGCGCACTGTCGTCCCATCTTCCTGGAGCTGGGTGTGTTGACTGTTTATAGCCAGTATGTCCTCAATGTCTTGATCCTGCTGAAGGTTAATATCCACCATTTTGTTGTGAGAGACAATATTCATAGTCACCATACCCGTCAAGCTTGTGACATTGATTTGCCGAGATGCCGCCTAGCCCGCTCACTGAAGAGCTATCCTCGGTCTGCGATAAGATTTTTTAATTCCTTGCCGGTGCATGTACGCGACCTGGACCTAGACGATTTTAAGACGGCCCTACGTGACAGGCTGGAAAATAGGCCTCTTTACAGCCTTGAAGAGCTAGGCAACGAGCCACTTTTTAGCCATTGCCACAGTGTAAATAGTTTTCTTAGTATTAAGTAAATATGACGCAGTCATACCGATATCATCGGTCAAAGACACAGACTTCAAGTATTCAAGTATTCAAGTAAGTAAACTGCGGACTGCAGTCAATAATTGCTGTCCCTTGAAGATTTTGTTGCTGACTTTATTTATTAATCATAGGTTGTTTAAGTGAAGATATTTATTTATTTATTTATGGTTGATACTAACTTATTAGAAGGTACTCTGTAGGCTAAGATACTTTTAATTTCCCATGTTCATCGGTAGTAAAAATTAACTTACTGAAAATAAACCATTCAATAGATAATCAATATTGCAGAGTTGAAATAAGAATCCTGTCAACCCATCAAATCTCCAATCACAAGTAAATAGGATGTAGTAACGTCTAAAGTTTGGTTACCGGTATTTAGGCTAATGCCTTGTAAATTAGGCCTAAGACCTAACTAATCTAGAATTTTCAAATACAAATGAAGTTATAGGCTAAGTTACTTAATTTGATGAAGAATTTTTCTGGCCCTCACATGTCTATGCAAGTACTGAGGAGACAAGTTAGGAAATTTGTAGGGTAACGCAGACGCGATTCTTCTGAATGAATTGTCGTAAGATGGTTTTTTAAACTTATAGCGTAATTAGACATTAGGGACCAGAAAAAGGAATACTTGGTTAAACAGTTTAAAGTTTGACAAGGAACTCGTACATAAGTTAGGCATAAATACCCAATATTGCATTGTCAACATCAACATCACACAAAGCTTGATTTAAGTTTTCTTGATCATAGTACCTTGACTATGTATAGAGCTTTTGTACCGGTATCCAAAAATAAATTATATTTTCTATACGTTTACTACACATCTAGGCACAGAAAACATACTACTATAACCTCTTCAAATTATCTGCATTCATATTTTAAGAAAGACCCTAAGAAACATTATTTAACCTACTAACTAAATATTGAACTTCTATGCACTATTCTTAAGCCTTTACCTACTCGAGTTGGAAACACTTGAATTTACCTATTTTTTGTATAGATGCATTGTCAACTCTCAAATCTTTATTCACATAAACAACAATAATAGGTTAAACAAAACGAAGAGATGTAAACGTAAACAAACACAAAGACAAGACGACAGGAGACAGGACCAAACTTGCTGATAGAAGGAGAAGAACACTGCCGAGTGCCGATCAGCTGTTTGTGGTGGCAAACGAAAGCAACATACCTAAGGAGAGGTTTCTGGAAGTCAATGTTCATCGGGCCGTCATACATCACATCATGTACATGCAATTTTGGGTGTATGTAAACTTATTATGTAAACTGTATTTAAGCTCACCTATTCAAAATTATAAGCCTTAGCGAACTGTTGAGTGGCGAAAGGTTAAATATTTTTTATCTATGGTTTTTTTTTGGATGCATAACTTCAGTCTCCACTATCCAAGAGCCAATGCATAGTTTTTATCAAACCAAAACCCATTAAACTGAATTATTTTAGCTCATAGCTCGTCATATTAGGTAAACTTCGTCCCAATGAGTTGGACAACACCAACACCACATGGTTAAAAGAATACACACACATTTAAAAGTTGGAATCTGATTATGCAAAATTGCTACATACCTATATGTATATTATCATGTTTACTGGATTAGTGAATCGTACGATATGTATAATTGAAAATACCTTCTCAATCAAAATAAAAAGGGTTAGATAGTGTGGGTGTTTTGGAAAACATTCAACATACTGTACTCACAAATATAGTAAGGCCGAGCAAATAGAAATATACGAGAGTTCCCCAGACAACAACTTATCTTGGGTTTCTCGAGAGAACGATTCTTTCCTGAAGGAGTTATTTCCTTCCGTCTCTACACCGTTCTGTCCCCTCCCTACAAGTTCTTTTTTCAATCCTTCAATCCTAAAACTAACCAAGTGAACATTTTGAGGGGCTGTCTTCTTCACCGGAATATAAAAATAATTAACACTATCCGGATTACCTAGTGTTTTGTGGTTTTAAGACTAAGCAGACAAAATTTTATAAAAGTTTAAAATACTGTTAAATTATTAGTTTAATGATTGAACCATATAAATTTGTCACTCTTTTTTCAGTAATTTCCTTACTGCAGTAAGAATAAAACCTGTTGCTACCGATAGTTGATTTCAGCAGCTCAGAGTGGTTAAGATTTATTCCGGCTTTTAAAAATTAACCTACTGATTTACTAAATAACCATAAAATCCTCGATTTAACTACTTTTTAGGCCTTTCTCCCTAGTGGAAGAGATCAATATATATCAATACAAAAATTGTATATTGATACGTATTGATACGTATGTGTATTTGGGCCAATACAGATCAATACACATCAATACATATCAATACAAGTAAATATAGGATCAGAGTCATTAGCTTAATTGAAAATAATTTGTAGCTTGTTAAAAAACCATTTTTAATCTGTTTCAACACATTGAATCACATCTAATATGCACTAAAAATAAAATAAAAATGAAAAAGTAAAAAAATTCTTGTCAAAAAGCTCGTGGTGTTCCCGTGATTTGAACCTGGGACTC